AGGGTACGAGGTGCCGGGAAAATATGATGATTTAATTATGGGCACGAGGTGCCGTGAAAATATAAAAATGGGCTGAGACCCGTGTTTACAAAAAATATGAAAATGGGCTAAGACCCGTATTTTTATGATTATGGTGACTTTTTAATTGAAAGAATTATATTCAAAATATTTATTTGGAAGAATTTTTACTTAGAAAGTATTATATGAAAGAATTGTATTTGAAGGATATTTATTCGAGGAAATTATATTTGAAAAGATTTATTGAAAGAATTATATTTGAAAAATAATTATTTCAGAAAATTATATTTAAAAGAGAGTTATCTGGAAGAATTATATGTGAAAGACATTTATTTGAAAGACTTGATTTAATTGGGTATAATTGTATTTATTAATTGTTGAGTGATATTAATTGTATTCTTGTTGTCTGTTGTGCAAATAACTGGTTGCTTTATCCTGCCCTTATTATTATTTATTTTCTATTATTTTGTATATTATATTGCACATATTATTAGGCTAGTGAGTGTCTTGACTGTACCTCGTCTCTACTCCATTGAGGTTAGTCTTGATACTTACTGGGTACCGACCGTGGCGTACTCATACTACACTTCTGCACATTTTGTGCAGAGCCAGGTATTGAAGATAACGGACTTGAGCGAAGTTAAAGCGGGATCGTAAGGATTCAAGGTAGAGCTGTTGGGTCGTCGCAGTCCCTTGGAGTCTTTTCATTTCATTGTACTGTTAACTTCTAATCAAACAGTATTGTATATTCGGTCCTCGTGATCATTCCATGTATTTAGTTAGAGTTCATGACTTAGTACTACCAGTCTTGGGAGGTTGTATATTCATATTTGTTCCGCTGTCAGTTTTGATTATTTATTTTAAAAAAAACAATTGGCTTCAAAAGGTAATTGAAATTGGCATACCTAGTCTTAGAGATTAGGTGCCATCACGACGCCTGTGGTGGGATTTTGGGTCGTGACATATAGTGAAATAAATACTCAAACCATAAAGTGTCTACTAGAATACTCCCAAAATTCGGTGTCACAAGTTTATGAGCAAGTAGTAGAATATACAAACCACCTATGCTATTGTCTGGAATAATATAGACAGAAAATAGATACAAAAAAGAGACTGCGGGTGTTGCAGAACGGACACAGAGAGCAGCTCACCACTATGCCTCGGAGTAACGGGGGTGCGTGCCTGAATGACTACTAGATGCACTTGCCTCAGATCCTGCACGATTAGTGCAGAAGTGTAGCGTGAGTACATAAATAACTTGTACCCAGTAAGTATCTAGTCTAACCTCGAAGAAGTAGTGATGAGGGGTCGAAATCGACACTTACTGTGGGACAATAAATAAAATACGAAAATTCTAAATAGACATGGAATACATCAATAATAATAACACAATAACAAGCAGTAAATAAGTGATTCTTTAACTAAAAGTCAATTTAAAATCTCTAACTGACACATACTTACTTCAACAATTATGGGCCATCAAGTAAATTATAATTTCTCAAGTCATAAAATTAATATCAAGTGTAATCGGACTCCGAGCATTATCACGCACGATTTATGTCAAGGTCATATGGCCCGATCTAAAATAATGTGTACATTGCCGAGGGTCGACCTCCACGAACCATAGATGCATCTATTATATTGCCGAGGCGTTCGATCCGCTCCACAAGAAGAGAGAATACTCTACGAATATTCGATTTAACAATTATCACAAGATTAATACACAAGGAGGCACAATTCCTATCAACGGTCAAGTAACTCGCCAAAACTTGAAGTAAGTGAAGTTTGGTCTTTACGAATCCTTTATCAAGTTTCAATATAATTTAAGCACTTAAATTAACATGTAGAGTACAAACAATACAAGTAATTTCATGATGGGGTCCTAAAACTACACGGACATAAGCATGATTTGTAGCTACGTACGGACTCTCGTCACTTCGTGCGTACGTAGCACCCACAATGAGAAGCAAATAGTAATTTAAAATACCTATGGGGTAAATCCCTCTAACAAGGTTAGGCAAGAGACTTACCTCGTCCCAAAGCTCACTTTTCGGTCCACAAATTGACTATAAAGCCTCAAGTCGGTGCCGAACAATCCGAAAACTAGCCAAATATTATATAAATTAATCAATATATGCTTAAAAGTTTATAATTTAGCCCCTAGAGTAATTACCAACCCAAATTGGAAGATTCCTAAAATTTACCCCTAGGCCCACGTACCCGGTTTCCCGAAATTTTTAAAGATAAATATTACCCACAACCTCACGAACCCAAATATATAATTTCTACTCAATTCCATAATCATTTTCGTGGTCTAATCTCATTTTTATCAAAATCTAGGTTTTACAACTAAACCCATAATTTCTATAATTTATATGTTAAGAATCTACCCAAAATATGCGTATTAAACTTACATTAAGTAGCAATTACTTACCTCACGATAATAGGTGAAAAACCCATCTCCAAGAGCTCCTTTATCAGCCACTCCAAGTGAAAATAAGGTAAAAACCCACCTAAGTCCGATACCCAACGATTTTTGCACCTACGACAAAATGGTGGCACCTGCGGCTCTGCTTCTGCGGACAAATCATCACAGGTGAGGACCTTGCCAAGGCCATCCACTCTCACTTCTGCGGACGAAGTTCGCTTCTGCGGATTTTCTCTGCTCCTGCGCGCACGCACCTGCGGACCAAGTCTGCTTCTACGCCCCACGCCACCTTGACCATTTCCACATCTGTGACCTCGCAGGTGCGGAATATTTCTTGCACATGCGATGACCCCACCGCATCTGCGTGACCGCACCTGCGGCCATACCCTTCGCAGGTGCGAAGACACTAGACTTTAGCAGCAACAACAACTCCCCAATTCCAAGTTCCAATCTGTTTGCGATTCGAATTTTATCCGAGGCCCCCAAAATCATGTCCGAGCATACTAACAAGTTTGTAAACATAAAACGGACTTGCTCGAACCCTCGGAACGCATAAAACAACATCAAAATTAAGAATCGCACCCCAAAACGAAATCGAATCAACTTATGAACTTCAAGTTCTTCCAACTTACTCCGAAAGCGCCGAATCATACTTAAACTACTCAGAATGACACCAAATTTTGCATGAAAGACATAAATCACCATACAAAACTATTTTGAGGCTCGAAATCCCAAATGGACCTCAAAAAAACCAAAACCTACTCCAAACCAAACAGAAAGAACCTGAAAACCTTCGATGCGCCAACTTCCAATATTAAGCGCCGAAACGCTCCTGGGTCATCCGAAACCCGATCCAAACATACGCCCAAGTCCAAAATCATCATACAAACCTATTGGAACCGTCAAATCCCGATTTCAAGGTCGTTTACTCAAAACGTTGACTCAAGTCAAACTTAACCATTTTAGGCCATTATTAATGAACTAAGTGTTTATATTTCTACCCGAATCCTTCCAAACCCGAACTAACCATCCCCGCAAGTCATGAAATAGTAAAATCACATACGTGGAGTCTTAATAAGGGGAACAAGGATCTAGAAGTCAAAACGACTGATCGAGTCGTTACATAACCGAGGACATGACCCTTAATAGAATGGTGTAGAGGTTAAGAATTAGGGTAGAAGGTTAGTAGGTAGTCGAGTATTTTTCTGTGTCTTCCTTAGTTCAATAATATTAGTGTTGGTATGGTATCCCTTTTATCCTTAGTTTGCTATTACCACATATCTTGTACTGTTGTTACTTGCCTTCTGTATGCCCTTAGTTTGCTATCACTTCATATCTTGTACTGTTATTACTGACTATTAGTACTTCTTTGATACTCTTTGTTGCTATCTTGGATTTCATTTTCTAAATACCTTGTTTTTTCTTTCATTCTTTCTTTAGCCAAGGGTCTATCGAAAATAGTCTATATGCCCTTCTAGGGTAGGGGTAAGACTGCGTATATCCTACCTTTCCCATATCCCACTTATGGGTTTACATTGGGTTATTGTTGTTGTTGTTGTTGTTGTTGTTGTTGTTGTTGTTATTATTATTGTTGTTGTTGTTGTTGTTATTGTTGTTGTTGTTGTTGAAGTTTGATAAGAGTATTTGGATGTTGAAGATTTATATTTGTCATTGATTTAACTTGAAAAGTTAAACTTTTGTGAAAATCATTTCACTTCAAAATTGAGATGTCCCTCAAACAAAATTTTCAACTTTCAAGTTTTTATTTCTAAGTTAAAGTTGTCACAATGAATTAAATTATAAAATATATTGAGTTGCATATAATATTTCAGGTTGAAGTTGAAATAATTTATGTTTAAATAAATCCGAATAATATTTAATTGAATATAAAGTCTAAAAGTGAATGAAGTTCTTAACACATAAAATAAATATATAAACTTTATAATAGCAAAAATGATTACTATTATTTTGTGAATTTCTTCTCATCTGTCCAATCCTTAATTAATACTTCATCCATTTCAATTTTTGTGAACCCATTTGATTGGGCACATAGTTTAAAAAAATAGAGAAGATTTTTGAACTTGGGGTGTAAAATGAGACATATATTTTGTGTGACTATAAATCATTACATAAAGGTAAATTGTTTTCAAATAGAGAAAATGGTCATTTTTTTTGATAAATTCTAAAAAGAAAATAAGTTCACATAAATTGATTAAAATGAAGGATGTATAATTTTATAGTATATGTCTTGGTAAGAGATACTAAGTAACTAATAAAATATTTAAAGTACTCACAAAGTAATTGGTACACCACCGTCATAAATTTTCTTTTTGGTGGACTTATACATGTTATATAATTCTTTATTAATATTAAAAAATACTAAAAGGAGCATCTTTTTCTCCTCAACACGTGGGATGTTATGATTGGTTGTAGGCATAAGACCGTCGAGTTTTATTTAAAAGGTGACTAGGTTTTACCGATTATCACAACAACGACATATGACTGGCTATTACCGGTTACCACTTTCAACGGTTGCCATCTGATTTTATTCTTTTAAGAATCTTACAAATACTTTTTTGAGCACTTTCTTCTCTAGTCTTTCTTTCCCTAAGTCCACCCCCCTCTCTGCTTCTCTAAGGTATGCCCTTTTCTCATTTCTTTCATATTCATTATATTTGACATAGTTAAGTGGATTTTCTTGATTTGTTTTCTTCTTAAGCACTTCATATTTGAACTCAATTTTATGTTGAAGTTATTGACTACGACTATTTATAAACTTGTGCAAAGATTTTGCTGGACCCTTCACTAATGTTTGGCAAAAAGAAACTTGTATGTAGTCTTTAAATAGTGATAAAGATTAAATTTTGTTAATGCAGACTTTGCTGTTGTTTTCTTGATTTTAAGGTGTTGTTAAAGTTTCTGTCTTTTTACTATTTTGAGAGCTATTACTTGTGTGTGTTCCACCTTTGAGCTTAAGTTTGTTATGGTTGTCACAGATATATTATATATTTATGACTGCAACTTCCATTTGGCATCATTGACTTTGAGGTTGGTTAGAGAAGTTTGCCAATTTGGCTGAAATGGATCCGAGGTTTAATGGAAACCCGAGTTCTTTGAATGATTTTCGACTAGGGAACCAATCATTACCTATTTCTTCAGATGGGAGTATGATTAATGGACCAAGATTTGAACTTATTTATCCAGATCAGAAGCTACACAATGGTCCTAGACTTGAAAATAGCTTTGTCCAACACAATTTTGGTGGTGTTGGATGTATAAACGGTGACCGTTTACCTAGTAATCTAGAATCAAGATCTGACCTTGGCGGCGTTGAGGAGGACTTCAATGAAGATATTGATTTCTCGGATGTAGTTTTGAGTTATATAAATCAGATGCTTATGGAAGAAGAAATGGAGGACAAGACAGACATGCTTCAGGAATCGTTGGAACTTCAAGCAAAAGAAAAGACATTCTATGAGGCCCTTGGCAAGAAGTATCCACCTTCGCCAGAGCAAAATGCGTTTACTAATCAGTACAATGAGAGTCCTGATGATTACTTCTCGGGAAGTATATACAATTCCACAAGTAATACTAGTGAAAATAGTGGTAACTTAGTTGATTCAAGAGCGGTTAACATTTCCACGGACTACAATTCCGCTTATGTCGAAGGCCTTTCATTTCGTAATACTTCAGTATGCTCATCAAATAGTGGGAATACTATTGTAGATGGGTTCTTAGACTCTCCTGTTAGTTCTTTTCATATTCCTGATATATATAATGAGAGCCAATCTATTTGGAGCTTTAGGAAAGGAGTTGAAGAAGCAAGTAAATTCCTCCCAACTAATAATAAGTTGTTGAACAATGACTTGCCGTCTCTGGAGTCTAAAGGGGAAGCTGGTTATGTGGAGAAAAAGGATGAGGGAGAGACTTCACCAACTGAGGCGAGAGGGAGGAAAAATCCTCAAAGGGATGATAATTATACTGAAGAAGAAAGAAGTAGCAAACAGGCAGCAATATTTACAGAATCAACTCTTCGGTCTGAGGAGTTTGATATCGTCTTGCTGCATAGCATGGGAAAGGGAGAGGAAGCACTGGAAGCTTATCGACAGAACCTGCGGAACGCTAAAAGCAAAACCACAGTGCAGATACCAAAAGGATCAAAAGGAGGAAAGGGCCGCGGGAAA